ATAACTTTATCCATCTAAATGAAATCTTGGTCAACTGAGCTTCCCAGCAGTTAACATTATTAAGTTGACACTATTTTTGAGAGAGAGAAAAAACACTCAACTCAAAGATAAACAAGAAAAACCTCACATTTACTTAAAAAAATCTTCCCTCCTAAATTTTTAGGCAATGGTTCTTAACATTTTTAGAGTCACAGAACCCTTTGGAAGTCCTGGGAAAGCTGTCAACCTTCTACTTTAAAAATGCACATAGAATAAGTAACTTTTTGTGTAATTTCTGGGATTTTGTGGGACCCCAAAACCTAATTAATGACTTCATGTTAAGAACTTAATGTCTTAGAGAAAAGAAAAACAAACAAACCTGCTTTTTGCTAAAAATTCTGTTCTCCAGTGGTCAGGCTGATTAAAGAACAGCACTGAGACCAGCTAAGCAAAGCTTTCCTGAGGCTGAAGAGGGAGAATAGTGCTCCAGGCAGTTACTCTTCCTCTAGACATTGACTGGAATTCTCACATCTAGAATGAAAAACTGTCATCACACAGTACCCCCGCCACACTCCAGATTCCCCCACAAAACTTGCAGAGGTAGGTTACAGTATACAGACACAGCAATTACAGGTACGAGACGGGCATATTGTCCAACTAGGGTTACCATTATAGTTAAGAAAGTCAATATCATGAATGACTTAATACTCAAAAAAATTGAATGCGTAGAGTAATCATAATATAATTTTAAAATAAAAATAATATATATATTAGAGGGGAGATGTCAACTTAAAACTATTATAAAAAGATCAGTTGGAAATCTTTGTGTTTTTATTTCAATAGTTATATTTAAAATTTCCACATGAATGGACTGATGAGGAGAGTAGGCACAGCTGAAGGTCACATTAGTGGTAAGAAAGATTGAGCTGGGTAGTTCTTCCAGAATGCAGCATAAAAGGCACAAAGAATTGGGGCAGACAAAAGTTTGAGCATTTGTCTAATAGGAATTTCAGAAGGAGAGAACAGAGTAAAGAAAGGAAACAAATATGTAATAGAAGGAAACTTCTTTGAATTGAAGGAAGACAGGTCTTCAGATGCTGAACAGTATGGCCGAGAAAAGACCCTCCACAGGTCACCTGCCAAAATGGCATTACCAGTTGGTAAGAGGATAGCAGGCCATTCTCTGTTTGCTCAAGTAAAATATCCATGAGCACCTGCTATGTGCAGACATTTAGCCAGGTACTCTGGTACACAAAATTAGATGATGTTCCTACTCTTGTGAAGCTTCAATTGAAAGGAGAATGCATCAGTCAAATAACCAATTACATAAATAATTGTATAATTACAACTTTAAATAGTGTTATAAAGGATGCTTTGAGAATGTATCATAAGGGCATTTGACTTAATTAAGGAACACAGGAAAGTTTTAAAAAATATATTTGACCTGAGATCAGTAGATTATATAGTTTCCTGCTACAGATATGTGTATTTGCTTCCTATTTCTGCTCTAAAAAATTACCACAAACCCCATGACTTAAAACATGTTTATGATCTTAGAGTTTTGGGGGTCTGATGTCCAGAAATCAGTATTTTGACAGGGATGTGCTCCTTCTGGAAGCTTTAGGAAAGAGTCCATTCCCTTGCCTTTTCTAGCTTCTAGAGGTCACCTGTATTCATTAGTTTGTGGCCCCTCCTTCATCTTCAAAGTATAGCATCTTCCAGTCTGACTCTGGTCCCGTTATTTCTCATTTTGACTCTCCTGCCTTCCTTTTATAAGGACCCATGTGAGTACATTAGGCTCACCTGGATAATCCAAGATACTATTCCCATCTGAAGACCCTTAATGACATCCACAAAGTCCCTTTTGCCACATAAGGTAATGTTTTCACAAATTCCAGGGATTAGGGCCTGGGCATCTTTGGTGAGGAAGATATTATTCTGTCACATGGGAGAAAGGTTTGTTCCAGAAAATGAATTTTGCTTCCACGGTATCTCATCCTGTATTAGGCATCTTAGAATAATATGGTCAAAACAGTGTGTATTTCTTGTATAATGTGTGAAATAGGGCTCTATATTTGTTTTATTTCAAGTAATAGTGGTCCATGCACCTTATTTGTTGAATAAGCCTTATGTTCCTGATTGATTTGAAATTTCAATTTAATGATTTCTTACATTGTTAGACAGATATATATGTTTGTTTCTAGAATGCTCATTTTAGTTCATTGATCTACTTGGTTATTTCTGTGTTGGTGTCATGTTTTAATTGCTGAGATTTATAATGGATTTATAATTTTTAATATTTTATTATGGATTTTGACATTTAAAATAAATAAAATCAATCTGCATTTAAAAAAAAAGAAAGAAGGAATGCCTGTCTTTTGTGACAAAATGGATGGAACTGGAGAATATTATGCTAAGTGAAATATGCCAGTTGGTGAAAGAAAATTACCATATGATCTCACCTGTAAGTGGACTCTATTCAACAAAATAAACTAATGAAAAAAATAAACCACAGGCATGGAAATATGGAGCAGACTGAAAATGAACAGAGAGGATGGAGAAGGAGGACAATGGTGGAAAGAGGAAGGGACTAAACAAAGAACATGTAGGAATGTCCCGTGGGCATGGACAACAGAGTGGGAATTGACTGTGGGAGAGGCGGGCAGTGTGGGATGGATGGAAGAGGTCAAAAGGGGAAAAATTGAGACAACGGTAAATGAATAAACATGACTTAAAAATAAATTTTTTTTAAAAGGAAATTACTGTTGGTGGGAATGCAGACTGGTAAAGCCACTGTGGAAAACAGTTTGGAATTTCCTCAAAAAGCTAAAAATGGAACTGCCCTTTGACCCAGCAATTCCACTGCTGGTATTATATCCGAAGAATCCCAAAACAGCAATTCAAAGGAACCTATGCACCCCAGTGTTCATAGCACAATTTATAATAGTCAAGTGCTGGAAGCACCCTAAGTGTCCATCAATAAATGAGTGGATCAAAAAACTATGGACATTTACACAACGGAATACTATGTAGCAGAAAGAAAGAGCTACTACCCTTTGCAACAGCATGGATGGAACTGGAGAGTATTATGCTAAGTCAAATAAGCCAGCGGGTAAAAGACAAATACCATATAATCTCATCTATAAGTGGAACTTTAAAAACAAAACAAACAAGCAACAAAATATAATCAGCAACATTGAAAGAAAAAATAAACCAACAGTGATGAGAAGGAAGGAGAGAGGGGGGTAATGGGGAAAAGAGGGGGAAGGGTCAAATCAAGGATCATGTATAAAGGACCCATGGACAAAGCCAAGTGAGGAAGGATTAAGGGTGGGAGGTGGGTGTGGCCAGGGCAGGGGAATGTGGTGGTGGAAGGATGGAGACAAATGTATTTGAACAATAAAAAAGATTTAAAAGTAAAAAGAATGAAACCTTACCTTTTGCAGTAGCTTGGATGGAACTGGAGAGCATTATGCTAAGTGAAATAAGCCAGTCTGTGAAAGACAAATACCACATGATCTCACTTATAAATGGAACCTAACCAACAAAACAGAAGTGAGGAAAATGGAACCAGAGACATGGAAATAAAGAATAAACTTACAGTAACCAGAGGGGAGGGGGAAGGGAGATAACCCAAAAGAAGGAGAAGGGTCATCAAGGAACATATATAAAGGACTCATGGAGCAAAGCCAAGAGTGGGGGGAGGGGATTGAATGTGGGAGGTGGAGGTGGGTAGGGCACGGGGAGAGTAATGGGAAAATGGGGACAATTGTAATTGAACAACGCTAAAATTAAGAAAAAAGTTACTACTATAAACATGGTACTCTACCTTGAAAAAAACCCAATGTTTGTGTGTTAAAATGGGCTTCAGAGGACTGCAGCTTGGAAGCTTTGGGGGAGTGGCGCAAGGCAGACTATCTGAAATCTGACATAAAGTAGTAACACCATATGTGGATAGGAATGGTTCATAGCTTGATGCAGTGAGCTGAGGCAGCAGGGTCACTCAGCTGATAATGTGTGTATTTTGTGTATTTCTCCATTACTCCATTCAGTTTTCTGACCTCTGTTCCAATGGGTGGAATTTTCTGTGTTCATCTAGTGAAGTGTTTGTCCCAGAGTAGAAATTGCACTTGAGTAAATATGAAATCCATGTTATGCTAAAATGGTTCTCTAATATACTAATTACACATAGGGACACACTTGCTTTTCAAAACAAGCATTGTAGTAAAGCTGAAATTTTAGACCTAGAAATATTTGCATGAATGGTGCAGTTTCCATATAGCTCACCAAGTTCCTCTGAATATTTACATCTTATATAACCATAGTACCAGAAAATAAACATTGATATTATACTGTAAATTCAGATTTTGTCATTTTTTTCATTATTGTTTTTCTTTTCCAGGAGCTAGATCTGGATCCCATTTTTCACCCAATTATCATGCCTTCTTAGTCTTCCTCAGTCAGGGACAGTCCCTCATGCTTTCTGCTTCCTTGTGCTTCCTGATATTGTCACTTTAGAGAGTAGTGGTCAGTCAGTTATTTTGTAAGAGTGCTCCCCTAATTTGGATTTGTTTGATATTTCTTCATGGTTAGATTGAGGTTATGCATTTTGGGCAAGGAAACTACAGAAGGGGTGTCATATCCTTCTCAGTGCACCATATACATGAGATTTGGGACTTCAATTTTTAAGATGCTTTTAGTGTTTCTAAGGTTTAGTTGTAAAATTAAATTTGTTGTTTATGCTTTACAGCCATTGGTTTTTAATGTGAGGTTTAATATCCTTCCTTTTTATTGGCTCTTTGACATTATTTCTTTTCTTATGGATAAGCCCTGTGGAAAATTACAGTATTATGGGTAATGCCGTTATATCCTTTGGTTGTTTTTCTTTCTGAAATGTAGTATATTTTGATCCCTCAATTATTTTTATCAATTTCAGAGGGTATGATACTTTTAAAGTAATGGTGTTTTTCTGTATTTCTTTGTAAAATATTTATATAATTAGTATCATTATTTTGTTTCAGTTTCAATAGTAATGGGAATTCCTACTGTGAAGAGAGAAGTTAAATCTTACCTCGTAGAAACTCTTCATTCCCTTATTGATAATTTGTATCCTGAAGAGAAGTTGGACTGTGTAATAGTAGTCTTCATAGGAGAGGTAATTATTTAATTGTTGGGTTTTTTTTTTACCTTATATAATCTGTAAGAGTTGAAACTGTAATTGAATATTTGAATGTACTTTTATGAGTATTTTTTAAAAATGTGATGAGTGAAGGTTAGATAATATGTTCCATCTGATTTATGTCTAACTTGTTATGTTTGCCTTAACTTCTCTCCTGTAGTTACAGTCCAGGAATAATCATCTGTTTTTGGTAGGATAAATATTACATACATTGATCTTTAAGAACAGTGAGTCCCTATTTCTAGCTCTAGGACCTAAATTTGGAGATTTGCACTGATGTTCTTTGGGAGCTGTGAAACCTGAGAAAGGTTTAGCCTAGCCCAGGGTTTTATCATCTTGTTACTCTCGCCTCATCTGTACTCACAAGAGGCAACCATCATTATTATTGAAAAAAAATATCATGAGAATGAGGACTATCATATATCTTATATTTTAGTTTGCTCAGAAGGTCCAGGGAAAGAATAAATTTTGAGCAAGTTTTTTATAAGTAATGAGGAAAAAGCACCCTGGAGTAATTATTTTCTTTATTATTATATAGAATTTCAGAATGTGAAAGGATTTACAACATGATTCCCAACTTTTCAGTGTTTCTTATATCTTTTTAAATAAAAAATGTTCTTAATGTTTTTCCTAATATAAGAGTAAACAAATTCATACTGTTTAAAAACAATTCAGAAATGTGTGATGAAAAATTATCTGTTATTCCTCCATACAGATAGAACAATTACAGATATTTGGAAATATATTCTAAGAAAAATTTTCCATGGCTTGTGTGTGTGTGTGTGTGTGTGTGTGTATGTATGTATTTGTTCTATATGTATTTTAATATCATGGACATTTTTTTCATGTTAAAAAGAATATCACAGAATCATTTCTTCTGGCTACAAAATATTCCATTGTATGGTTTTAACATGATTTATTTAATTTCTGATTGTTAGACATTTAAAATGTTCAGATTTTTGCTCTTATTTTCAACATATTGAGCATTACTCTAAATAAACTTTTGTGAGATGGGACCAATTTCTAAGTGCGGAATTGCCTTGGCCCACATACATTAAAATGTTCATATACGGCTTCAATGTCTTGCAGAAATCGAGCCAGTTTATCTCTCTTCTAACATGCAGTGAGAAAGCTTCTTTCCCTCTTCCCATGCTCTGCTAGATAATAACAGTCTTTAAAGTTTGTTGTCAATTGATGGGTGAAAAGCAATACATGGCTTAATTTGTATTTTTTTACTGAGTGGGATTAAATGTTGATTCATAGGTTTTTATGGATCATTTGTATTTATAATTGTTTTTATAACCTGTGTCCATTTTTTATTTGTAAGAAATTTTCATATATGAAAGGAATGAATTCTTTGAAATATTTAGTCCAGTTTGTCTTTTGCGTAAATTTCATTGATGATTTTTCTTGTCTATTACAGAAATTTTACATTTTAAGTCTCTAAATTTGTCATTTGCATATTATATACCAGTAGAAATTGGTACAATCTCCTTAGAAAGCAATTTGGCAATAGTTAATAAAATTTAAAGTATACTCTGTGACACAGTTTTCTGCAAGCACATACACACATACATACAGCTCCTACATGTGCATTAATAAAATGAATAGAGAACCTGGCCAGGTGCTCAGTTGGTTGGAGCATCATCCCATACAGCAAAGGATGCAGGTTCAATTCCCAGTCAAGGCACATACCTAGGTTTTGGGTTTGATGCCCCACTGGGATATGTACAGTAGGCAACCAATCAGTGTTTCTCACATTGATGTCTCTCTCTCCCCCCGAACCCCCCTCCCTTCTCTCCCTGCCCCCAAAGTCAGTAAACATATCCTTGGATGAGGATTAAAAAAAAACAAATAGAGAAAATGGTCTTGTAGAATATACTGCAAACTATTAGCAGCAGGTATCTTGAAAGTTGAGATGGGAAGATGCCACTTTCTATTGTATACAGTTTTATAAAATTAGATTTTTTAACAATGCACATGTTGATTTTTAATCAGAAAAAGTCTTAAACTATAAAAGAAAAAAATGTATCCTTATACACTTGAAAAATGATGTACAGTATATAGACAGATTAGTGTACATAAAGATTCAAGACCCTCTTGCCATAGTCATTCATCTGACACTAAGATGTGATAATACTCTGGAGTCAAATGACTTGTGTTCAGGGCTTACATTTTGCCACTTACTGCCACTTGAGCAAGTTGTTTTTCTTTATCCTCAGTTTCTTCATCTCTAAAATGAGAATATATAATGTTACTGAGCTGTCTGAGCTTAGTGTTGTTACAGGGAGGCTTGAGGATATCTATCACACATGAAGAGGTGTTGTAAATTCAAAGTGTGGTACAAGTGTCAGCAGTATTCTGATCCATGAACACTGCCCCCTCCCCCAAACTGCAGTGTTTGCATATGTATCTATATATAATTTTAATATTTGCAAGAAAATCTGAACTGAAGAATTAATTTACAGAGTTGATTGAATTGACTGTAGACACCTTAAAATTCTTAATTATTACATTTGGTTCTACCTCGGATAGTTTTAACCTAAGTATCTGGTAGCCTGGGGCTCATTAACACTAGAAACAAGTGATACCCTCTGGCTTTTACCTTGATCTACAGGTGGGATGGTTCCTAGATCTAGACAGATCTCTAACCTCTTCCTGAGCCCATATTTCCAACTGCCTTTGTAATCTGAATTGTTTTTATGGGCAGTTCTTAATCCATCTATAACTAAAATAGTCTGGTTTCCTCAAACAGCTTCTCTTCCAGGTTTCCTATCTGTTTATTAAAGCTTCTTTACATCCTAGAATTAATAGTCCTGTGTTCTAATCATTCTACTCCCAGTTCAGTATGTAGACCTTGTGCATTTTCAGTTGTGGCTGTATTACTCTTCAGCCTGAAACATGACCTCTTTCTTATTCATCCTTCAGGTCCCAGCCCATCCCCTTTAAAATTAATATAGAGTAAATAAGCAAAAGTAAATTTATCTTTTATAAACATTTTCAGTTTTTGTAAAAGATTGAATTATGTCTGGTTCACTTTAACATATGAGGAGAAAATTAAGAATGAGAAAAACCTGGGAAAGAAACAAATAGACAACAAAAGGCATCATATTATTTTCATCCTCGTTTGATTTGCTGTTCATTGTATTCTTTTCTTGAAGGGAGGGACCGTAAAGTGCCTCTCTGGGAGTAGAGAAGAGACAGGAAAGTAATTATTTGCTATATTTTGTTCATTGTTTCTCTCTGGTGTTGCTCCCTTGGGAGTTCATTGGACATATCTGATGAGACATTTATAGAACATGTAGGGTTCTGGACAGTTGATTATTGATGCATCATTTGAAATGGATTCCATTCTGGAATTGCAGAAGGAGTTGAGAGGAATGAATTCCAGTTGTTCTGAAGGATCCATGAAATGATCCAAGTGTGGTGCTCACATTTTAAGATTGTACCATTTTTGTGTCTACTTTTACATAGAATTTAATTATAATTTTTGTATTCTAATCATTTGTTTCTCTGTGCCTCCTTATTTCTGTTATATATTTTATGCTGTTATTTATTATTCATATTTCTTATTATACTATATCATTATTTCTATTATTCATGATCATTTCTGGCAAAACATTCTCCTACATCGTACTCTGAATTTTAGCAAAAATGTTTTCCTGTCCTATTCTTATATTTGGAGAATTCCATACTATATGAATCTTGGTGAGAGGAAGTGCCTTCCTCCCACTGTGGAAACTAAAAGTGTCAGATACTTGCTTTACTAGTTCAGGTACATGACCTGGGCTCAGCCACTTGGATGTTCCTATCTTGGATTTGAGTGGAGCTTTATTGTTTTCAGATGACACAGAAAACCCAAAGGAATAAACACGTAAGTTATTAGAAATAGCAGGACTTTATCAAGGTGGCTGGATATAGGATCAACTTACATTTCTATATGCCAGTAACAAAAAGTAAGAAAATACGTTTAGAAGAAATACTTTTCTAAAGAATCAGGTGTTGTGGGCAGTCCATTCTGGTCATAGACAGTGGCGGTTTCTTTCTTGGGATCACAGGGTCAGGGTCCAGAGGCATTGAAGATTGATGGTGAAGACTTTGCAAGCTGTGGCATTGGGAGCATTCTGTGATTTTGGGATGTCATCCAGCCTTATTTCTGCCACCTTTGTAGTCTGGTTCCTCAGCTTAACTGGAGGTTCTGTGAATTCTATGCTTTCAGTAAATTGATCTCTATTAGGCCAGAGTCAGTTTCTGTTATGACTGAGATCCTGACTGATAGAGCTTGTATCTTCTTCAAAAGTACCTCAATTGCTATACAACTGCCACCGAAACAGAACGTGTAATCAACATGGAAGAGCAAGGCTAGGTGGCTAAATGTTACTCCCAAGTGAAAGAAAGAGATGAAATGAATTTTTGAGGTGGGTTTCATATAGACTATTGCCTAAATTATAACAGCCAGATTATGTTGATGATAACCAAACAATTTGATGAATTTGGAAAGATAACTTTAGGTAGCATATCTTTTACAGCATTCTGATTGTTCACATTGTTTCTGCAATTTGCCTAAAAACATTCCAAAGGCATGTTCAATTTTTAAGTTCCTAAACTGAAGGATTCAAGTTGAGATTCTATAATGAAATAAGAAATTCATCATGTTGGAAAAGCACCTAAAGGTAGTCTCTGAAAAACTGAGTTTAGAGAATTTCCAACTCATAATGTGTTTAGTATATAGTGTGAAGATAGTTTTGCTTTTTATTTAGTTTTCTCATTTTACTGTTGTACAGATTTTAGCTTGTGTTTTACAGTCAGAGTGACTGAGGCCTTTACCATGCCTTCTTTAAAATTCTTCCACCAGCTATGGGTAGAAATTTGCAAAGTAGATAAATTTATAAATGAATGCAGAAGGTGAATAAGCAGAAAATGATCAAATTGCTTTGGGTTAAAAAATTTATTTTATTATATATTTTATTTGCTAA